TTCCAGCACATTCGTCGCCTGCTTGACCGCATCAGCCCTTCCACAACCAACTGGGCCACCATGTCGCTGTTCCGCAGTGCGATCCGCGCGCCTCTTCGCGTCGCGGGACCTTCGTGCGGGGCCGCACCGGCGGCTCGACGTGGTCTCGCCACTGCTCGTGAGGAAAGGCCAGAGCAAGCGAACAGCCCGTGGGCCAAGTCTAGTCCTTCAGCCCCCACAACTACTTCGCACACGGTCGAGGAGCTGCATGGACTCAGCATTGATGAGATTCTCAAAGAAGGAGGATCGCGAAAGGAAGCTAGTATGCGTCACTTTACCATCAACTTTGGGTGAGTTGAGCGGCTTGCGTACGAGGGACACCAAGTCCTCGCTAGCGAGATGTGCTGATGACGACCATTCATGGTGTCACGCAGACCTCAACATCCCGCAGCGCACGGCGTGCTTCGGCTGATTGTGGAATTGAATGGCGAGCAAGTGCTCCGCGTGGACGTGAGTATCTCTTTTCAGGATGCGCTTTCCGTCGATTCAAACTCGGCATCTGACTGCTAGACCATCTCACCAAACGTTCACCTGCAGCCCCACGTCGGCTTGTTGCACCGCGGCACAGAGAAGCTCATCGAGTACAAGAACTACACTCAGGCGCTTCCCTACTTTGACCGACTCGACTATGTCAGCATGATGACCAACGAGCTCTGCTACTCGCGAGCAGTCGAGAAGCTGCTCAACATCGAAGTTCCCGAAAGAGCCAAATGGATCAGGACGCTGTTTGGAGAGATCACCCGCATTCTCAACCACTGCATGGCCGTCCTCTCGCACGTGATGGACGTCGGAGGTCTCACGCCATTCCTCTGGGCTTTCGAGGAGCGTGAAAAGCTGATGGAGTTCTACGAGCGAGTCTCTGGTGCACGTCTGCACGCCGCCTACGTGCGACCGGGAGGAGTGGCGTTCGATCTGCCACATGGTCTTCTGGACGACATTCACAAGTGGGCGACGCAATTTTCATCGAGAGTAGATGAGATTGAGGAGGTTGTCACTAGCAACCGTATCTGGAAAATGCGGACCATTGGCGTGGGTAAGGTGACCGCGCAGCAAGCTCTCGACTACGGCTTTTCTGGACCCATGCTTCGCGGTTCGGGAATTCCTTGGGACATTAGGAAAGTTGCCCCGTACGATGCGTACGACCAGGTCGACTTTGACGTGCCAGTCGGCAAGAATGGTGACTGCTACGACAGATACCTTTGTCGGGTGGAAGAGTTCAGGCAAAGCTTGCGCATCATCGAGCAGTGCTTGAACAAGATGCCCGCTGGCCAGTACAAGGTGGACGACTACAAGATTGTGCCCCCTCCCCGTGCCACCATGAAGGAGAGCATGGAGGGTCTCATCGCCCACTTCAAGCAATTTTCTGAAGGGTACAACGTTCCGCCTGGCGAGACGTACTCGGCGATCGAAGCGCCAAAGGGAGAGATGGGTGTTTATCTCGTTTCGGACGGATCTAACAGGCCATACCGGTGCAAGATCAGAGCCCCAGGGTGAGTGCGCCGTGTCACTCGCATTTTTCTCTTGGCTATTCTGATAGATTGTGTTGCCTTGTCTCAGATTTGCACACTTGGCAGGAGCGAACATGATGTCTCAAGGGTTGCAACTTGCAGATTTGTGTGCTATGTGAGTGTCCTGACGCTCGCATCTATCAAACCCGACTCACACTCAACCGACGTCCTCTTCCTGACCGCTCGCGCGTCTATAGCATCGGGGTGAGTGACGCGCTTGGTGACGTTGCTTTGTAAGTTAGATTACCTGCTGACCTTGCTATCTGCTACCTTTCGCAGACTCAAGATCTCGTATTTGGCGAAGTTGACCGTTAGATTGCGCCTTAGGTGCTCCCCACGCTCTCGGTGTGATGTTCCACATACTCTGATTGCAATCTTTTCTTTTGTCATCTGATGAACTCAACGTGGCTGTCGTGATAGTGGCTCGACTCTGCGCTCGGATCTGTCAGCTTATGTTGCTTGCGCCATGCGATCGGTGAGGCTGCCATTGCGTGCGACGCATCTGTCGTCTTCACTTTATCATGCGACGCACCACGGCTGACCAGCACGTCTGGAGCTACGTCACGTCACGGTTCGTCATTCACGCTTATCGATCACGAATGTGACGAGGTCATCTGAGGTAGGAGGGGGCTCCGTGTAGCATTCACGACGACTTTTACGCCAGTGTGAAAGTTGGGCGTTGAACGTTTGAGCGGCTGAATCACAGATGGAATGGTGTGCGCATTCACATTGTTTCGCCCGCGAGGTGGCGTGGCAGTCCGCAATGAGGGCTTGATCGTCGTTGAAAGTGAGACGGGGATCTAAAGTCGGTCCGAGCAAGTGCCTTGGGTGTTCCACTCACGACTCAAGTTGATACGGCTCTGGTGGCCGTAGAGTCCGAATAAAGTTTGCACGGGTTCCGAATATTATTACTCGCAGCTGATGCAGGGAGGCGGGGCCTTTGCCGCCATGACGGTGTGATTCGTGAACGTGCGGGCGGGCGAGCGCAATGACGAACACGAAGGGACGCCTGCTGTGGCCTGGATCATTGCATGGCCCACCGACGTGACGTGACGTGGCTTACCGGCTGCTGCTGCTGAAAAGCAAAGCAGAACGGACCCAGCCCGCATGTTATCGCGTTATGCAAGAGCATCGGCGCTAGCCGAACAAAGCTTGCCTGCCCTGCCGGGGTGCCCGTCGAGCAGCAGCCGACTTTTTCTCCGAGCTGCGTAAGAGCTGCGTAAAGTAAAAAAATAAAATAAAAAAGGCGGGGAAGTGCGTGCCGTACAGGAAAAGGGTAAGCGGTGCAGCGGACGGGGAGTGCCGGACTGACTGCCTGCCTTCGCCGGTTGCGTGGCCGGGCTGTGTGTGACGTGCTGGCTTGGAAGGTGATGATGACGAGAAGCAACAGCATATATGCTGAACCACATAACAGCCTCTCGTAGCTGCGATGGGCGTGATGCGAATACAAAGACACCAGCGTCAAAGTCGCCCTTACAGCCATCACATGACGCCGAAACGATAAGATCTCGACTCGTGACTACCCTTCCTGACCGAGACCGAAAGGCTCAACTTCTTCTCGACCCAAAGACCCACGAATTTTGGAAGTGTCACATTTCCCCGACGCGTCGTCAGAGCGCACATCTTGTCTATTCAAGCCGTGTAGACAAGCAAGCAAGATGAATCGGACGCTTCGACTCTTTGCATCCGCCTCCTCTGCGAGCGGAGCATCATCCTCTGCCTGGGCTGGAAGACCCAGCAGCCACGCAGCCAGTCAGACGTACCTCGTCGTAGCCCACGATGCGCGTGGCGCAGACATCATGGCGAAGCGTCTGGCTGTGCGCGAGAATCATTTGGAGGGAGCGAGACGGGGCAAGCGCGATGGCAGGATCCGTGAGTGTCTATGATGAGGTGTAGTGAGAGCGCAAAAGGAAAGCTGCAGAGCTCATCGAGCATCTCGTTTACACTGGGCTTGCCATGCAGTGCTTGGTGGTGCGATCCTAAGCCGCGACTTTTCCGAGCTGAGCGAAGAGGGGCCAAAGGGAGCCATGGCGGGTAGCGTCATGCTGGTCAGAGGCGAGGTGAGTTGAAGCGGAAAAAAAGTGTCACAGCTGCACCGATTATGGAGCTGACTCTGGACTATTGCATGGGCATGACGACGCACATCCAGTCCGTTGCAGAGGTTCGATCGCGCATCGCGCAAGACCCGTACGTGACTGGAGGCGTGTGGGATCCGAACAACATTAGCGTTCACCCCTTCGCAGAAGCGCCGCTTGTGGCCGTCTCTTCTGAGCTCTCGACCAGTTCGGATGTGACCTTTGGACCGTCGCGCAGTCAACACTATTCTGCCTTGGATGCGGACGCCGAGCTGGCAGATGCGATCGCCAAAAGGGCTGCCGTCGCCCGAGACCAGCCTGCTCCCTCGCTCGGGCTGGACTTGGCATCTTTGCGCAACGCTGCAGCCGCAACGCTGCAGAGCGGTGAAGGCGGTGTGGCCAGCAGCAGCAACAGCAGCCGCTCGACCAAGTCGCCGAGAGCCAAAGGTTCACGAAGCGCTAGAGCGCAGAAGAGGTCGCAGAGTGTCAATGCTGCTGGCGCTGCTGCTGCTGCTGCCGCTACGCCTGCCACACCTGCCACACCTGCTCATACGCTGGGACAACTTCGAGGAGAAGCTGCCAAAGCTGCTGCGGCTGCCAACATGACCCTGTCCCAGTTGCGCACCGTCCACACCAAGACGGGCTGAAGGCTGCTGCTGAGCATTCCTTGCAGGGGGGGCATGTCATGCTTTCGATTTCGACACGTGCACCAAGATCAGGCGACTGTGAATGCTAGATCGATGCTTCTGCGTCGTATTCTTTGCGGGGATCTGGACGGCGTGCCGCTGGCTTTCCCACACCGCTCGGCTTGACTCAAAAGGCGGTCATTCACATTGGCCAGCACATCCCACTTCGGCTTCTTGAGATCTTCACTGCAGAGGTTGCTCTGGAATGCTGGACACAACACACGCACACACACACACACACACACTCTCTCTCTCTCTCTCCGTGTGTGTACAATCTACAGCTAGCTCCTTTGACCTTGCGTGGCACATTGATATGCTGCGCATGCACCCTCGCAACTTCAAGCAGGATGCCCCTTCTGTGTTCGGATTGCCAACGACGCGCGGGCGCGTAT